TCTTTTATGACAACCAAACAGCTCACCAGAAGACAGGCACGTTGGGCTGAAACTATGGGATGTTTTGATTTCGTCATTAGATTCAGACCTGGGCGAACAGCGGGAAAACCTGATGCATTATCACGACGTCCTGATTTGGCACCGGATGAAAGCGAAAAATGGACATTCGGACACCTACTGCGGCCTGAAAATATCGACTCTGACTCATTCCCGGCTGAACTTGCTGCTTGTGAGGCATTTTTTGAGGACGAAACTATCGATCTGGAGGATTCCGAGCGCTGGTTTGAAATTGATGTGCTGGGTGTATCCAACACTCAAATAACTGACATTCCTGAGGACGCCGAAACCGTAGACGACTCATCTGAATTCAAGACGGACAACGACATTATTGATTTAATACGAACTGCAAGTAAATCAGATGAGAGAATTATCGAATTGATTTCAGCAATTAAAAATCCTATATCAGTTAAATTTAAGAAGGCATCAAATCATTTTGAAGAAAAGGACGGGGTATTATACAACAGGGGTAGGATTGAAGTACCACATGATGATGATATTAAATTTATGATTGTCAAGAGTCGTCACGATAGTCTCTTATCAGGTCACCCGGGCCGAGCAAAGACGTTAAGTCTTGTTCGACGGTGTTTCACGTGGCCATCGATGAAAGCCTACGTGAACAGGTATGTTGACGGATGCGACTCATGTCTACGAGTCAAGTCTAACACGACAAAACCATTCGGAACGCTGGAGCCTTTGCCAACTCCAGCAGGCCCATGGACGGACATCACTTACGACCTGATTACGAAGCTACCCAAGTCAAGAGGCTTTGATAGTATACTAACGGTGGTTGACCGCATGACCAAAATGGCCCATTTTCTGCCATGTAAAGAGACCATGACAGCGAATGACTTAGCTGACATTATGATTCAAAACGTTTGGAAGCTACACGGTACTCCTAAAAGTATTGTTTCAGATCGTGGAACCATTTTCGTATCTCAAATCACCCAAGAGTTGGATAAGAGACTGGGAATTCGGCTACACCCTTCCACGGCGTATCACCCACGAACTGATGGACAAAGTGAAATTGTTAATAAGTCAATTGAACAGTACCTAAGACATTTCGTCGAGTATCAACAGGGCAACTGGGAAGCCTTACTACCAACGGCTGAATTTGCTTACAACAATCGCGATCACGAATCGACGGGTATTTCACCTTTTAAAGCAAACTATGGGTTCAATCCGACGTTTAACAGAGTGCCATGTGCAGACCAATGTATCCCGGTGGTTGAAGATAGGTTGAAAATGATTGAAGAAGTCCAACGTGAACTGACACACTATCTTGATATTGCTCAGGAGACGATGAAGAAGCAATTCGACAGACATGTCAGAGACACACCGGAATGGAACATTGGTGATCAGGTGTGGTTAAACGGGAAAAATATTTCCACGACACGACCCAGCCCCAAATTGGAACACAGATGGCTAGGTCCTTTTACTATTATTAAAAGGGTGTCAAATTCAGCTTACAAACTTGATCTCCCAATTTCTATGAAGAGGATTCATCCGGTTTTTCACGTGTCATTGCTTAGGAAACACATAACCGACAGCATCCCTCAAAGAAAACAATTAGAACCTCCACCAATTATTATTGACGGTGAAGAAGAATTCGAAGTAGCAGAGATATTAGATCGTAGGAGGAGGGGTAAATCATTAGAATATTTAGTGAATTGGGAGGGTTATAATTCAAATCATAATTCATGGGAACCTTTACGAAATTTATCAAACAGTAAGGAATTGGTTAATGATTTTGATAGAAGGTTTACTACATTATCATCAAGATGCAAAAGGCAACGGAGAAAGTGAGTGGGTAAGCTTTTTCCCACAGGGTTTTTTAATGCTACCCAGGGAAAGAATGCAGAACTCGCAAAAGGGAGTTTGGGCATTAAAAGGGGGATAATGTTACAATCTCATATATGTAACACATGTGAAAGAGATGAGAGATGTCACGCAAGAAGCGTATTTATAACTTGTATTACGTCACTTGTAGAACTCTTTCCTCATCCGACAATCTGAATAACAAACGTAGATTGCTTGGTCCTAATCCTTCATTCCTCCCTCGAACCCAGATCCCCTGAGACAAGACCTTAACACTTCTTGACTTCATATCATTCAGATTATTCAAATCATCTTAAGCAAATCATCCAATTTGTACCAAGGAGTTTGTTCAACTGTATCCACTCATCTTGCTCAATCTGATTGATTTGATCAACAAATCAAGACCAGCTTCTACCCAAAAATGTTGAAAGATGCTGTCATGCCATTTGTGATTCTGGCTATACTCTTTACCAATTCTAAGGCATGATCTGCACAAAACAGAACCAGGGGGATTGTGACCTTATTCTCTTTGACTATAACTGAGCCAGATACTTCACAGAAAGCCAAAGATCCTCTCAACACCCATATCATTGAACTCTCACTAGCCAATCTCACTAAGAGTGAGGAGCACGGTCAGATTAAGTTGTCTGTTTGCAAGACCTGTGTTGCCTTCCCAGCTCACCTCATTGATGTTTCCACACTACTAAGGCTTGTTGTACTCAGCAATGATTTTGATCAGCTAACTCTTGTTATCACTGCTCAGACTCAAGGAAATCAGAGAGCCTCTGCGACCAAGGACAATCAGAATCAAATGACCTGCAAGGCGTGTATTTGTTATTTTTGTGTGATCTTATCTCTTTCTGTGAACTCAGAATTAAAGGGCTACCGGACATGTCAGTTCTGCTTGAGCTTTCCAAGAGCGTCAGTCAAAATGTATTTCAGAGCAGAAAGATTTACAACTAGACATCTGCTGAATTGGTACCAGTCTTTTGCAGGAAACCGAGTCGCGGACCAAATTTGAGCAACAAATTTAAACTCGTGCAGCCTATAAAGCGTGCCATGTCCATCCAAATCTCCATCAGGCTTTCCTTGAGAGGCAAATCAAAGACTGTACCGTCTTGAGCCACTAAGGCATCAGACAATCTGTGCAGCTGATATTGATCGCAATCGAATAATACGTTGGCGAAAGTGCAGACGGAAGTGAATTGGTTTTGACCAAGTGTTGTGGAGCTGAATCTTTCATGGCTCTGCTTTTTTGAGTGTGAGTGCTGTGAGTCGAGGCTCAAGGGACTGAGGTGATAAACTTCAAAGTGCCATATCCGCGATGAACGATGGTCGGTTTCGCCCCGTAAGGTCGGACTTGTGACGAGCTGGGACCGAGTGTGGATGGTAGTTGTGGAAGTCTCATCATATGAAACCTATCTAGGTCGGATCGGCCTGCTGCAATCGTTGTACTTTGTTGGTTTACCCTATCATCGCGTTTATACGCTGCAAGACACGATTCCGACCCCAACCCTACGAACTTTCCGGCATCGAAAATGGTCAAGAGTGAGTCAATCTCCTCGTTCCATCGTCACCACACCTTCTCCACATCCGACTCATGACCGAATCAGCCATCAAACCTCCACTCGCATAACCTGTTCCATTGAAACATCCGGAACCGTTGTGGTCCTTGCAATTTCGACGCTTTAATTGAAACTGATCATACTTGTCTCTCTGGTCTTCTTCTACCCTCACAATGAATTTATTTCTCAGTTTACAAGGGAGGCAAAGTTGCCGTTGTTCTTTCGGGTCGACATGCAGGCAAAAAAGTTGTAGTCATCAAGCAATCTGACGAGGGAACAAAAGATCGACCTTATCCTCACTGCATTGTTGCTGGTATCGAGAGATACCCCCTCAAAGTCACTCGAGGTATGGGTGCCAAGAAGCTTGCTAAACGATCGAAAGTTAAACCCTTCATCCGGGTACGTCTTGAACAAACACCTCAAGCTCATCAATGATGCTCAAAATTCTTCGGTTCCGGTCTTTAATCATCTTTATTCTTCTTCAATCACAGGCTGTCAACTACAACCACTTGATGCCAACCCGATATGCTTTGGAGTTAGAGGGATTGAAGGGTATTGTTACTTACGAAACATTCAAGGAGCCCTCGCAGCGGGAAGAAGCAAAGAAGGCCATCAAGAAGATGTTTGAGGAGAGGTACCAAGCAGGCAAGAACCGATGGTTCTTCACCCCTCTTCGGGTTCGTTTCTTTGTTTTCATATTTTGCTCGCCTCACACTGATGAACCTGTCTCGCTCCCTGTTTTTGTGTTACTTTATACAGTTCTGAAATGTATGCTATTCAATGCTCCCAACTATGCTTTCAATCTGCTTGCGTGTCTTGGAAAGCCCCTGAGGGTCGATCCTGTCGAGCGTTTTCGTACCATGTTTGATGACCTGATTTCTTGGCGACTCATTGAGCTTCAAATATTTCAGTAGCTTTGTGATGGACCAAAGCTTTGAATGTCCCACCTATGCCTTCATTCATTTCAATAGCCCTTGCTTTCTCGACTACATCTGAAGCTTGGGTATAAGAGAAAAAAACCCCTAGTTATCCGCTTCCTATACTATTTACTACATCATGCAAAAGATAGTTGCTGCTGAATGCTTTCATTTATACTCGAATAGCTTGCCAGCCCAGATATACCCCAGGATGCGCGGTGTATATCTTCAATCTGCTCAAACATGCTATCTTTCCGGGTGAGCTGCTAGTGAGTGATTAAGAGGCATGTATCCTGCCAATCGTGAGCATTTTTAAGTCTCGTGAGAACCCTCTGTAAAGCATCCGAGAATCTCGCTCAGATTAGCCAAGGCCTCTCTGCGGCCATTTTTCCTGCACAATGTGAACATTGTCAGTGTCAAGGTGTGGCGTAGTAGAGGTGCTTGATTATTTAGCTTGTGATTGGAGAAAGAGAATGTGGCTTCGATCATGAACTCTCCAGACTTCTTCAGTGCAATACATCATGGTCTATGAGCACCTGCACCGGATTGGATTTTCAGGACTCAGAATGCATTCATGAATGTCAAAGTTGTCTTGAGCATATTGGAGTACAGTAAACATAACACAGCAGACATTGTGCAACATGGTTTCAAAAATACACTATCACATGTAGAATTAGGATATTACAACTTTCCAAGGCCATAACAGCTATATACATATAATGATCTATCTTACCTTCCTTAGAAAAGCTTATACTACATTGAAATCTTATGAAACAAGACCTATCAAAATCTTTTACATTACTTTCTATGCATCAATCTCAAGTTTCTTGACCCGCTTTTTTTGTGACTTTGATTCCTTAACAGCTTGTTTGAAATTATCGATAATATGCCTCATTGCATGAACTTCATCTTCAGCTGATAACTGATGATCAGCAATATGTGAACCAATTAAAGAAGCCTACATTAAAAGATAAAAGATGATGAGTATTATATTGATTTTCAAAATCGATTTGAATAAAAGATCCAAGCAAATCACCTTAAAGAAAGCCACATTATTACGATAAGCCATTAGAACCGATCTTAATTCTTCAAGTTTCTTCCAAACCAATTTTAAACTTTCCACACTTTCCGAAGTTAAGATTAAATCTCTAGACAATTGCTTTTGAGACCAAGAATCTCGTTCAAAGATCTTTTTCCAAATCGGAGTAGATTCTTTAATTTTCAATAATTTGAAATGTGATGATAAGAATTCACTTGTAAGTTTTGTACCTAAATCACTGGCTCTAGATGCTAATGGTAAGGAAAGTTCAATATCATTTAAGAGTTTGGTTAAGTCTTCTGAAAGTCTTTGGAATAAGATATCTAAGTTGTGTGAAACATGTTGAGTTGTATATTTTTTGGAACCTGATTGAATTAATTCTATCAAATCTTGTAGTCTTGAAAACTAAATTGTAAAGAACTTCATCAGTGATGTTGATTTCGTGTTTTAAGAAATCAAAAATGGTGTCTCACCTCATAAGCTACAAATGAGAAGGTATTGATGCCTTGACTATTCAGACTGATAATTTGATCTTTCACATCTCTAGTCATCTCACTCAAATCCATAAGCTGAGGTGCTAATACATCTTTTCCTTCGAGTGAAGTAGAATGTTGTACAGCCAACGCCAATTCGAGGATATCAGCCTGATGTAAGCCAAGGTTATGAGGATCGCCCAGACCGACGACGGATTCAAAGATATCGGAGGCTAACTTAGCGCTATCAGCAACTGATCGAGTGATTTTAGATACTGGGATCGGTTTGAGAGTTGATCCTTCACAAAAGAATGGACCATTGAGGATCGTACAATAGAGATAAGTGAGATGAGGAATCGAAGGTGTTGAAAAGGTCAAGAGTCGAATGAGTTTAGTTGAGAATAAGTTGATAAGATAATTAAGAGCCGTAGGAGTGATTGAGATGATGATGAAGATGATGATAGGAAAACTAATGAGAGGTTGAAATAAGATTAATCGAATGATAGAATTGATGATTTTGAAGATGAATTGAATTGAGAATAAGATTAAGTTGAATAGAGTGGTGAATGGGTTAAAGTTGTTTGATTCTGATTTGATTGATGGTTTTTGATTTGAAGTGGATTGTAGTACTTCGATTGGTTTGGATTTGTTTGATTTTGATTTTGATTTGCTCATCTTCTTGTGGTAAGTTGATGGTCTTCTTCGAATTCTTGTGATCTTACAGATTGCGATTTACCAAATTCAACCCGGTACATCTCTCGGGGTCCCCAGCCAGTCGGTACCAATCCAATCAGCTGCCTGCAGTATACATTCATGTTCTCGAATCCATTCCCTCACTTGAGTTCTCTGATCATTTCAAAATTCAAATCCTGAATTCAAGCTATGGCAGCATTAATTGATGATCATGGTCTAAAATTACTAAAAGACTGCTGTAATGGCAGATGTGTATTTATACCAATGAGCAAATCAAATATTTTCAACCAATTTTTGGATTGGATTGGTAGGTGTTTATGGGTAGGACATGATATTATCTCAACTGGGATTAGGGTAAAAAGTGTAAGGTGATTGATACTCATGATTGAAAAGTTGAAGAGTCCATAGGGTAGGTACATATAAAATGAGGTTGTGTGTTGTGTAATGAGACATACAAAGAATGAATAAAAGGATGGTAGTCAATAGAAGAGAAGCCAATGAGTGAAAAAGTAATATGCAAGCACATTTTTAGAACAAACCACCAACACATTGTGTGAAAGATCATTAACAGGTCCCAAGAGGCCATTGCCATTGAACGGCTGAATGGTATCTAAAATCAAGAGAGATTGGATGTTGATGCCAACAATTACACAGATGTTGAGATCAATACCAATGCTTGACAGTAAGCTGGAAACATTGATGTTCAATGACACAATGAGTTCAACCACAATACAGAGACAAGATTGGAGAATTTCAAAGTCAGCTAATGAAGAAAAACAAAAAAGATCAATATTAAGTGAGGGTATCAAGCCTAGATTGATCAGTGACATTAACATTGTCCAGCATAGCATAGCTCTGGGTGATGACTGATGTGAGCTGATTGTGGAAATAATCATAGGTAAGTACTGGGAGGTTCAATGTGAATAGATGCAAGGAAAGAGTTCAAACTGACTTAATAGCCATTAGAATGGTTGCAGATCTGACAACGAGGATTGGAAAAGTGGGTGATCATAGCTTGGAATTGAATAACCATAGCATGGAGCTCGTATGATATTTGTTGATATGGAATTCCACTCAAATACCATTGAGAGAATGTGTTGGCAAGAATTGTGCCAAGTTTCTGAAAGCCTTGGGTGACCTGTGAAAAGCTGGTATGATGCTGGTTCCAAAATTTTTAGCCCCCTCTGCAGGTGGCTTGGGTTGTCCAAGTGAGGCAATTACTTGAGACAAATCACAAGCAGAAAAGCGCTTTGTATTTGCAGTACTTAAACTTTTCACATTACATTTTGATTCAGGGAAAATTATCAGCCCAACAATTAGAGAAAATCATAAGAGACAGAAATTTACTAATGTGTTTTTTTGGACAAGACACAGCTTAAAGTTCAGTGCACTTCTGAACTCAGGCGTACCGGCAAGAGCACCAAGCAAAAAGCTGAGTGCGAATTGCATGATGTAGATATTTGCGTTACTAAGAAAAGTGAATGAAGCTGGTGTTTTTTTATTGTTTATGTCAAGAGTGAAGATATGAAACAGCTATGAACAAGTAGATGAGATGATTGGAATGAGAATGCACTGAGAGGTTGACCTTTTGTACTTCATGATCTCCCTCTTTTCACTCACTTCAGCTCAGCGTGACTTCAGATAATCAAGCGTGTCCATCTCACATTGGAAATATGGCCCAATTGGTCAAGCCGCAGGTAGTCAAAATAGAGAAGAATGCCATTTGGTCAACCTGCCAAACCATCTTGTGAGTTTTAGCTTCAAAGAACGTAGAAAAACTTTGAAGTCGAAGTAGCGATTAACTTGTCTTTCGATTTGATGTATGAACAGATGACATGGATCTTGATCGTGATGACGATGAACCACAAAGCCAACCAAGCCATCCTGGACCTCCTTCAAATGGCAAGTAAAATCAGATCCTCCTTGAAAATTCCAAGCCCATAATCAAAATAATTGACAAAGATCGTGAATCAGTATTGATCAAACCTCAATAATACAAATTTCACCTGAGTCAACTAGAAGAGGACCTTCAAACAAAATTAAACCATTGACTCATCATATCACCATAAACCTGAAGGAATAGTTGCAGACTTACGTTCAAGTAATGGTAAAAATCTTGAGAGACTTTCATTAATTTTGAAAGGCAATCCAAATGAAATCTTAACATCATCAAAGAAATCCATCCATCCAAGTAATTCAGTCAATTCTAAACTCAATGTTGAGTCTTGATTAGTCATCTGTTTCTTCACTATGTCTTGATTATTCATCTATTTCTTACTATGTTTTTTTCATCAGCTTGATTTTTCCACTTCTTCCTGTCTAATTTCAGTGACCTCATCACTGAAGTGAACCGTTCGCGCAACCTCACACAGTGACACTAGGTATAGTACACTCGTTTCAGCTCGTTTCTCGCTGGTTTTCTTGATTTCCGATTGATATTCTCCATTTCCTCCGTTCGCCTCGCTCTGCTCATCAAAGCCTGCTCACGCAAAAACTGGACTTCGATTCATGTCGCTTGTATTCCATGATTTTCATTCTTTGTTCGTTTCTCTTTCAACTGCGTTTCGCCTGTGCAAATCGAAGTCTCCCGTTTTTGTCACTCCTTCGTTTCTTGTCCCCGAGGACCAAGTAAGAGCTCGGGCGTAAGACTTTGGTCCTGAGTGAGAGCCTTTTCTGGATGCGTACATATACGGTATTTGTCATCGTCTGTACGTTGAGCTCTGGGGATATAACGGCGTGCCCGGATTGAGGTGTTGATTTGGTAAATCTGAGATGAACTGCTGCTTGTTTTCAGGGGCTCAGAGGATTATCCTAGCCATGACATCAGTTTATGACGTGTGTTGAAGGTGATGATGATGACGATGAAGATTAAGATGATCAGTTGCAAAGTGGGTAAATCTCAAAGTATGTACATACATAGACTTTACACTTGGTTGACACAAGACGCGCGTTGGTTGTTGACAAATCGCGTGATATTTTCAATTTAACCCCATTCTTCATTTTCATTTTCTTAAATTTCGCTTTTTCACTACTCTTTCTTCGTTCTTTCAACTTTCTTATCTTCTAATATACTCATCACGATTTTAGAATCCAGATATCAATTCGAATTCCATCTAATCATTCGATTTCGACCTCATTTCTATGGCTGGGTTTTGTAAAAGGTGTGGTGATATCATCAGAGGTGCTGAGACGCGGTGTAAATGTGGTGGAAGTAGTGCATGTCAGTTTGAATCTCTTTCATCTTTTTCATCTCTGATATCTAATCATCGTCTTAACTCTTTCTGATTAAAAACTGCAGCTTCACAAGTCTCTCGTGCTTTATTCGAACCTACCAAACCTGATCGTTGGCTCAAGACTTATGGCGAAAAACGTAACTCGATCTCCAATAACACACGAGCTCAAACTACTCAACCATCCGAAGTAATTCAACTACCTAAATCATCTGCCCCTGTTCCTATCACTGCGAATCAATCTACTCCAAATCGTAAAAGTCTCACTGCTCAAGATATGAACATCACATCAATTCCACTTCGAATCGTAACACCACCTACTCCACTCAAAGAACCTCAACCATCTACACCCTCGGATCCTACCCCCAAACGTGGATTATCAGTCAAATCATCAGCAAGGGCTCACGTACGCTCATTAACTGCCAACATACCCGATTCGATTGATCTATCAGCAGCCGAAGAAGAGGTTTTAACCAATGTGTTTGGTTCAGTTCTTGATCCAAACGAAACGAGAGGTCGATGTGGGGCTTGCTCAGAGGTTTTCAAACGAGAAGGTAAAATTTACCCGGATCCCAGACGTGATGATTTATCATCAGGTGATTGGGCCGGTGTCTTTTATTGTCGTAATTGTTATATCAAACTCTTTAGTCGTGGGAATTGTACAGCTTGTGAGAAAGTCGTAGTGGGTGATGAAGGTTTTATTCAACTTGGGAAAGGTGGTTCTCGTGGTTTTTGGCACAAGGTTCTACTTTTCTCTTCTCCATAGTCAACTTCATTGAGAAACTTATTGCGTGTTTTTTAATCTATCAACAGAAATGTTTCAAATGTGTACACTGCTCGATAGATATCTCAGCCTCTCCCTCAGTAAACTTAGGAGGTGATCCGTGTTGCGATGAATGTTTCGATCGACCAACGAGAAAATCCGCAACATCGATGGTTACTGATATTCCAGATCTTCGTGACAAACCTAACATCAAAAGAACTATGGATTCACCAGCTACTAAGGCTTTGAGACCAGCAGTTGAAGAATTGAGAAGTAAGCTGCAAAAGGCTGGAATCGAGAAAGTCCCTACACCTGCACCGAAACTCTCAGCTTCACGGTCAATGAGTCCAGTGACTCACAATCGTCTACAACCTACTAGTCCCCTTCCGACCTCGGCTTCCACGGGTACGATCACCCGTAATCAGCTACAGCCTACTCGACCACTCTCAATTTCACCTACGCCACTAGTTACCCATAACCAATTCACTCGTCCTCGACCACTATCGACTTCTGCATCAGCTAGCATAGCGAATGACGTCCATAGACGAACTCCTCGTCCGCTCACCACTTCATTTTCAGCCAACACAATGGCCTCTGATCGCTCCTCACCATCTCTTCCACGCTCCTCCTCACCCTTGAAGAGTTCTGTCCCGCTGTATCCTCTCAAACCTACTCGTCCACTTTCAATTAGATCTTTAGCAAGTCCCATGAAGCCGCGTCAAAGCAGTGCCACTATGACAGACAAGAACGCGAGCATACCGAATATTAAATCATCTACCCGTGCACTGCCACTCTCACCTTCGACAAATCCGATGTGTACGAAGTGCTCATTACCTCTCTTCGCTTCTCACGCACCTGGTGCAACAACACTTGCAACCTTACCTACGACCGGCGAAACCTTTCATTTGGAATGTTTAAGGTGTGATGGATGTGACGGAGGATTCGAAGAAGGTAAATATGTACTATATGACGATTTGAAATTGTGTGAGAGGTGCGTTGAGATTAAAGAGGTTCAAGCAGCTGAACTTAGATTAAAAGAATTAAGGGAGAAGATTGGACATCTTCAACCATCATTTCCCGTAGTAGGAGGTGCACTCATAGCAGCTAAGAAAGTATCAAGCTCACCATTCCTATCAACTTCTGAAAGTTGTATTGGAACAGGAGGGGGAGGAGGAGGTATAGGAAGAAGATTAGGAGGACAAAGTGTTTGTCCAGGCTGTTTGAAACCAGGTACGATTCAAGAAACCAAGATTGGACCTATGAATCAAAGATGGCATACTAGATGTTTGAAATGTGAAAGGTGTGGTAAAGCATTGGATTCAGGTGCTAAAACTTTTCAAAGTTCTGGAAAAGTTGGATGTAGAGATTGTTTAGTGAGTCTTAAACCTTTGGTTTTTATCATTTTTTCATCAGATGGGTATGTGTTTCCGGGATTTAATGAAATATTGACTTTGATTTTTTTTGAACTTTTTTTAGGATAAGGATAGAGTTGGTGCTAGAAGATTTGGTTACTACTAGAAGATGATTGAAATTGAATTTAATGATCAATGATGTTTATTTTTCTTTTCTATATTGCTTATAAGATGAAATTTCTTGGGTTGCTTGTAGCTATTGTTGATTGAACTATGTAACAATTAGAGAAGATCTCTTTAATAATAGGTGTATGTGCATGTGTTTGTGTGTGTATAGATGGTTTTGCAAATTCTTATGAAATCTTGTCTTCTTTAATTATGTCAGTTGTCTTGGGATGGACGTTGAAATTTATGAATTTTAATACATTTTTTTGGGAGTTGCCCCAAGTTTTGATGATAGATGAGAGGTATAACATGAAATCAGCAATCATTTCACATTTTGTTCTTATATTCATGATTTGAACAATTTATGACTGAGGATATTGCACATCACTCTTGAGAACAATTACCTGGTGGCAAAATCAATATCTTGACAATGACTGTACATCAAAAGCCATATACCAAGGTTATGATCTTTTTACATTGTTTGAATGATGTATGTGATGGTGAACCCAAGGCATTGTATGATTTTCTAAGAGATTTTTGTGAGTACTTGAACCAATATTTCAATCACAAGAATCTTTGAAGTCTTGGACCCTATGCTATCTGAAGAAACAGGTTTGGGGTCAAATAGGCATCAATTGCAGCTAGAGACTTGAGATGCTCAATGGATGATTTGCAGGTCAAGGGAGTCATAGATTGAGATTGTAAACTTCTGCAATGTTTGGATTCCAAGGCTGCCATGCCACTAACATTGGGGATGGTGAATGTTATCTTGAGCTAATAAGCGAACTTAACAAAGTCCCTCGCATGCGGTAAAACCCGGAGCCTGCGTAGGGACTTACGCCCAATGTGCTTATGCTCGCGTGAGCGGTCATGAGATTTAATAGGGAGAAAATGGACCCAATGAAAAACTTTCGTTAAACGAAAGCTTTTCGATTTTCCTTTGAAGCAATCAACATCCTACTTCTTCCAAGTAGGACCCTCGATTCAAATTTTCCATATCTTGAGCCATGCTCAAGTTTTCATTGCCATCTAAAAAGCTGATTTTCAAATTTCAAAAACCACGGAATTCAACCGCTGCTGCGAGATGGATAAAATTGTTACATAGCAGATTTAATCCCAACTGTAGCAGAATCATGGGTTGTGATTCGTGAACTTGTGGTAGAATGAAATTTCTTGTGCCAATTTGATCAAGTAAAATATGTTGCCTACCTGTTGACCAACTTAACAACATCTTTCTGATTTGACACCTTCACCTCGAACCATTGCAATTAATGACTTCAGCACCTGCTGAGTCACATCAGCCTATAAACAAAACTCGGGTTATTCAAGTATGCGAAGTTATTGATAAAATACCTTCCTTCGATCCAAAGAAGTTCATTCAAACATTTCTTGAATGTCAAGACTCTAACTTGGCCACTCGCCGGCGCTTTTGGGCAACAAAATCAGGCTGGCCTTCAACTACTCGGCTTATGAGAACAATTAAAAGACTTGCACAATCTTCAACCAGTGGAACAGCGCTATGGGATTCTTTCATATTAGAAGAGGTTAGGAGAATAGGGACTCATCTTGGATCTGATGGGTAGACTGACCTCTCTCTTTTCCTCGGTTAATTGGCATGCATCAGGCTCAAAAAATAGTGAATTCTCAGTCGATGCCCAGTGGCAAGGCCCCAGGTGGCTCTTATTACAGCTCTAAGGAAATTGACCACGGCTTCTTTGACAAAGAGAATGAAGAAAAAAGAGGATGTGAAATTAGTCAACACATGTCATTTCTGTACAATCTCATCCAAGCAAAAATTAAAGATGGCCAGCTGCAAAAAAAAACACGAAGAGACTCAGAGGTCGAACGGAAACGAAAGCGCTCTGAGACAAATCCTACAGCCAAAGAAGACAACGATTCTGATTCCGAAATCGAACTTGAACCCGACAAGGATTTGGCCAACACCAATGACAGTATCACAGATCCTGCAAACTTGCTTGACGCCCGTGAAGATGTTGCCTACACTCGGGAGACTGAACTTGAGACTAGAAACAACTTCCAGTCAACACACATCCCCATGACTCTCTGCTCCATGGTCGGACTAGCCTGTAATCGACGTCACAATGGACTAGGCCTGCTCAACTCAGTCACTTTTCTCGCCAGTGGTGTTCCACAACGGGTTCATGACTATCTTCATTCTTTGGGACTCACCTCAAGTTCTGCAACCGCCAACAGATGTATGCTTACTTTAAAAAAAAGGACTGAAGAGATTCTTCGATATCGAGCTTCTCTAGATTATGTTTTCCAACCATTAGTCACCGCCGACAACATTGACATAATGAAACGAGTTCATCACACCCGAGTTGATGAAAAATCGAAGATTCACCACGGCAGCTGGGCTTATGCTCATTTCTTACCTGAGCACTTACAGAAGGAAATCAATCCTGAAGAAGCCAGTGTCGAATCGTTCCAGGCCGCCATGAAAGCAAGTGAAACTGCTCCGATTGAATTGTATAACTTCTTACCCAATGAGGCCGAAAGTGAACATTGGAAATGTGCAATCAAGGCTCAAATTGTGACTGCATTACTTCGTCATGTTGTCGAAAAAGATAGTCCAGCCCACAAATACTGTAGCAAGAATCTAGCAATGTCACCTCCAGTAATTGACCAGATTCCAATCGAAAACCCAGATATCATGATGTTCAAGATGATGGCAGCTTCAGACGATTCAGCAGGTGGTGTAGCTGAAATGCTTGAACAGCTGCGTTTACAGAGTGGTCTTTCGGAAGAAGAATACGCCTCAAAGCTTCGGGTTATTGAAGGGGATCACGGCACTTGTAAGAATATTCAGAGTTTGATTGCGAAATCTTTTCCTGCTGAGCATAAGGATGAAGCTCACGAAGAACTTCTAACTATGCTTGGAGCTGCACATACTCTATGGAATGTTAGCCAGACAGTTCTTTTGAAGCATTGGGGAGATCCAAAAGATTCTTCTGATACAGGCGCATGGAAATCTTGGGTAGCACTTGGTGGAACATCTGAAAAGCCTGTTTCAAAGAAAGATTTTAGTTCGATAATGGAAATTGTACATAAAGTCCACATATCGACTCTTGTTTTCTTGCTACAGTATGTAAAAACCTTTTATTTTTTGTCCCGCAATTCAAGATTGACTGACTTGGATCTTCTTTGAATGGTCACTGTAGTCAACTGATCGCTTCAAAGGACACACCTTTAAACCTAGCTGAGGAGGGCGTGGCCGAAGCTCTTGTTGAAGAATGTTACTTCAGATACTGCTCTGAAGAATCTCGTGATGAGGCGTCTCACGTACAAGATGGTAACTTACATAATATGAAACTTCGAATTAGAGACTTTTCGTCATTAGTTGAAGCTGATAGAGCTATGCGGCAGGGAGATGTGGGTCGAATGATGCTTATGTGGAAGCGTTGGGCAATTCTTGCTCAAGGGATGGAAGGAATGGGCAACTATGCACTTGCTCTTCCTCGTTACATTCTTCTACTGGAAGAGTACCTACCACCAAGTGTTGGTCGAGCCCTCCGACACTCACTTTTAGTATGCCCAAGTGGACGAGCTGGTCATTTTGTCGCGAAAGACTTTTACTTGGAGATGCAGAATTATTGGTTGAAATACTTCTACAACCATTCAGTACGTCAATCTAGTTCAATTTCATTCTGTTTAAAGTTAACAAATCAATCTTGGATGACTCTAGGGCCAGGGAACCGACATACAAAAGCTCACAGATCGCTACTCGGTCAATATACCCTTGGTAAGTTCAGTGAAATTTGTCTGAACCCTACATTTGATTAACATCTTTCCTCATTGATCGATTGTAATAGATGCGACAGACAATGCATCGGCTCAAACTACGCACTGGTCTGAAAGACATATATCAGAGCAAATCAATCATAATCACTGATCGGTCACTCCTTCTCTTCATGCGTATGGCTCGCGACCACCTCACTGATCCTGAGATTTGCAAAACCAACCGCCCAATACCCAATATCGAATACAACAAAGACTTTTACACCTTGGGAATCACACAGTTCCAAAACATCCTCACTGAAGAAGCACGAAAAAATAAGTACAATAAGTTTAAATTAGGTGGACCGCTTGCTGAAGTCACTCGGTTTAGCTCTTCAGCCATTGACACAGAAGTTAATGAAGAATACTTGTAACAGTAGATCCACGTGAAATGGCATACCTCATGACTTGTCATCACATCTCTAACAACAGTCTGTTTTCCTTCCATCTTCTTACGTCGGCTTTCGCGCGCGAGTTCCTCTTTTTCATATTTCTCAGCAGCCTTCTCTAAACGTGCAGCTTTACGTGCTTCAACTGCTCTTGCCTCGTCTGCTTTCCTAAGGAGTTGAACTTGTTTTTCAGCTTCGTATTCTGCTTCAATTAACATGTCATCCAAGTAATTTTGGTCTTCCTCTACTTGAGCCATGTCCATCTCCAATTCTAAATGTGCGTAGGCATCTGAATGTAACCATAATTGAATGCAAGTATTGATCATTTGAAAAATACCTGGAACAGCTTGGCTTCCTAAAAGTTTACGTAAACACAAGCCGTCTAAAATTAATTTATAATTCTTCACAATGAGCCAAGCATGTTCTCGATTGAATAATACATCTGGAGCCACACCACAATTCTTCAGAGGTGATTTGCGATAAAGAATTTCAAAGTGACCAACTAGAGATACTGCAAGCTCTACAAAATCTTCTTTGAGTCGAATTGGGTCGTCTTTTTTACATATTAATGGCTTGATGGTTGAGACTACAAGCTTTGGAGGATACCACAAGTAGGGTAAAGTTGATTCTAGTGGGTTTGATAGATCGAGAACAGGCGTGGAGATCAGATGACTCAGATCCGACTTTGAAGTCTTTCGAAATGCGTTGATAAGTTGGACTGCTCCTTCAGGCTCGCAGTTTGAGCAGGTGCAGTTTGGCATCCATGCTGCTTGCTGGCGAGCTATCTCTTCCTTATATCTACTGTCGTCCACCGACAGAGGAATGTATCCAAACCTGAAGGCCCTCGCCAATCACAATTTATCAGAAAACATCGCATTTGTCAAAGACTATTCAAAGTCAAACTTACAAGTTGTCTATAGATAAAGCTACACGAAGACAGACAGGTGTAATTGCTAAAGCATCCATCCTTTCGTCATCTCCCATCTCTTTTCCCTCTTCAAACTCTGAAATCTTGTTTTTCCCACTCGGACGGTTTGGTTCAACAAACATGATGCCTAAACCATGATTACCAGAGCGACCCGCACGGCCAACCATCTGTGTTATGGTTGACGGATCCATTCGACCGACTACCACCACACAACTGACCGCCTTCCAATTCGAACCGAGTCCAAGGGCTGAAGTGCTTGACATCCAAGGAAAATGACCATCCACAAAGTCTTTTGCACGTTTTTCCTTATCTTTTGCACCAGTAATTGCATGGTACCTTCGAATGAAACTGCTAGCTCCGTTTGGTAAGTCTTCAGGAGTTCCACGAGCCAATTGAGCCATCGCCATCACGTTCAAGGTAGCATCTTGTGTTCTTGAGTAAACGATTGTTACCGGAAGCTCCTCATTGGTGAGAACCGATTTGTGAGCTACCAAACGCCCAATGTCTTGTGCTGTGGGCTGGGGGAATGCTAGATCTACTCGAACAAGACGAATCTCAGGTCGTGTTAGTTCTCCTTGAAGGATGGTAATGTTATATGGTGTGATCTTCAAACTTCCTAGAATCATTCGAATTGCCACTGGTCGACAGGTTGCTGACATCAGAAGAATTGCCACGTTCTCAGTTGCCATTAGTTGGTCACATAAGTTTCCGTAGGCTGGTCTGAAGCACCCAATATCTTGAGAATTTTTAAAAGTCGTCAGTAGCTTTCCTGGCCCGCTAGCGACCAAGCCCCACATGTAGATCATGTGAGCTTCATCAACGACCTTCAAGATGAGTTGAGACTGGAAGTTGATGCTATTATATATCTCTTCGAAGGCTTCAGAGTTTAAAAATATCTCCGGCCCCTAATTAATTACATTATCAGAATCTTACATTAGCAAACATTGTTCATACCGAATTAGAGGTACTTCATTCTATCTCACCAAGTAAACAAAGCGGTAAAACCCTTTTTTGAGTTGTCTGATCACTTCGGGAGTCATGGATCTCTTGGTCAAGTTGATTGCTGAGATACGACCTTTTTTCTCCAAGACCTGATTAATCACATTTGATCAGCTTGAAGATATTTTGCAACATCTTCAACAGCCTCCAGTACCCACCTGATTGTCTCCGAGTGAATCAAGAGGATTTAAAACCAGAACTACAGGTAATTGAGATTCATCAAAAAGATGATAATACATCTCTGCGATTCGTGTCTTTCCGTACCCAGTCGCAGCGAGTAGAAAGGTATTATCTCCGTTGATCAAGCACACAACAGCCTTGACTTGGAGGCTTCTTGGTTCGACTCCAAAGATTTCTCTGAAGCGCTTGGTAACATAGTCTGTTTGCTCTTCAAGGTTCATGTTTTGCAGTGCAAGTGGTAAAGGAGGCTTGTTATGGCGTAGCAGCTCGGTCGACGTCGTCGGTGCGCCTCGGATAGCGGCTGCCACGACTTCCGCACGTTTTCTATCGGCTCGCGTTTGCATTGTTTAAGATGATGAATTGCAGAAAGAACAGCTCGGAAAACCCAACAGGAATCTTCAATCAATGCTATAAACGGTTTGGCTCTCGGATTTCAGAGAGACCTCTTGTAACCCATTCCTGGTTTTCGCCGAATCGGTAAATGATTTTGCCCATTTGTGTAATGTCTTCAACCGCAGTTGGTTTTTGAAATTTGAAAATCAGCTTTTTGGATGGCAATGAAAACTTGAGCATGGCTCAAGTTACGGAAGATCTGAATTGAGGGTCTGGTCCGCAAGAGGCCAGACTTTTATGTCTCAAAAGGAAAATCGAAAAGCTTTCGTTTAACGAAAGTTTTTCATTGGGTCCATTTTCTCCCTATTAAATCTCATGACCGCTCACGCGAGCATAAGCACATTGGGCGTAAGTCCCTACGCAGGCTCCGGGTTTTACCGCATGCGAGGGACTTTGTTAAGTTCGGCTAATAAGCACTTAATGATCACTTTGTAGTGTTGTAGTGACTGGATCATAACTTCAAACTTAAGGATTAACAGTTGGCATCTGTTTAAAAAAAGTCCAACATCATTCTCATTTACAACACCCATATTGTTTTTGCCATTTCTTTGATTTGTGTTTCTCACATCACTCTTGCTTTCAGTTTTAGGCTCTGCCCCAACACAAGCTCTTGGCGATGAAGGAAAGGTGTCTTCTCATCAGAAGACTCGAAGGCCTGTGGAGGCAGAGAGTCGGCTCTCAAATTGAGAGCGCGAGCCACGCAGTCATACTTATTGGAATTGATGTGCCTTTCCCACGTCCGAATGTGTCACACCTGTCCAGACACATTGGCCCAGCTGCTACCCATATCCACTTGTCTCGCCCTTGCATCCACTCTGCATCATCTCTACAGTCGCCTTTGAGAAAACCGATACTCAAAAACTTGGTAAGAAAACTATTCATTTTGACCGAGTATCTGTTTTCCCAAACCTCTGGCAAAACCGATAACAATTAAGATGTCGGGAAGCAATTGGGTTTCACAAACATTCATATGCTGTTTTTTTGGTTCTTCATCAAGTAGTCTCTATAAATCCTTGCAATCAAGATGTGTAAGGGTTTGCTATTTGACAGCTTTGGATGCACCCAGATACACTTGTTTACCGTTCAAGTTGATGATGAAATTTACAAATGGCGATGATTCAATTTCGAGTAAAATAAAACAAAAACAGGGTCACGATACCCACCAAGGTATCGGATTTGGACTTGAGAATCCAACGGCGGTTATTAGGTTCGACAGCTTTATTGGTTTTCTGACCGAATTCCCTCCAAATAAGGTTCATTCGTTCAAAAACTATCGGCTTTTGTAGAGTACCGCGCTACACACATATTGGTCGCTTCCATGCTGCGATACCATCTTCACAATGTTACAACATACATAGTTGAAGATTTGATGGAAGCAGGAGAGGTCTTTGAGGTGACCCAAATGGTCGATGGCTTTCGGGAACAACGATTTGAAACAGTCCGACTTGGTGAATTTGTATTGCCCATTGGGGGGTGTGGGAAAATATAGCGGCTCGCATGAGAGCCGGGCTCTCTGCCTCCGCAACCCTTCGAATGCTCTCCTTCTCATGACCACGGACAAAGATCCCTCTCCTCCGCGGGGCCGGGCTATGCGGATATGAGATTCCTCATCCGCGGTCTCCGGGTTACAATTAAATGACTGCATGACAGAGCTCATTCCTGTTTGGTTGTGCACGCCCGGTATTCACCGTAGTCTGTGCAGCAAGTGTTGATCTTATAGCCGCACGCTCTTCGTCATCGGATTCGTGTGTTCAACCTTTCAACTTTTCAACGTTTTCTTTACTTACACTTTGAATTTCACATCTCGTTTATCATTTATCAATTAGCATAGCATCATCACTTTAAGCATAGAAAATACCTGATGACTCAACTTATCAAATTTGGTTCAACAACCATCTTAGAGAATGTCACATATCTTTTCAAGTTAATCTCAGAACCTCTTCATCCTACATTTTTTCCATTACCGTTATTACCTTTCATTCATGCTGCAAGACTCAGTTTGGGTTATCAACATTTGCGTGTGAAGGCAGGAGGAAAGCTTAGTTGGACTGCTGATCTTATCGGATATCTTGTTATGGTTTGTCCCCAAAAAACCATGAAAATCAAACTATTCTAGTATCTGCCTCGCTTTTCTTGATCAGATCTCCATTTTCGGTCTTTTTTAATTTCTACATAGGCATGGGGCGGCTCGGTGATGGTCAACTTGATTTTGTACCAACCTATCCCTCAACTTGTTACCTTTCGACCGCTTTTGATTTATACCTTCACACATTGGAGTTTGAAACTCATCGAATTTTCTCCTTCGATGGCTTTCCTCGATCGATTGTTACCATTACCTGATGCATTGATTCGGACAGCAACGATAACTGCAGCAGTTGACGCAGTAGTAAATCATCGTGAACCGGCTTATGCTCAATCTCTTTTACTTCAACTTATTATTGGTGCGATGGCTGCCTCTGGAGGTTCAGCGCTTGCTCAATCTCTTGGTACTACTCAACCAATTTGGCGTTGGGCTCGACCAGATTGGATGGAAAGACCTAGTACAATTGGTGCATTAGATGTTTGGTCTGGAGTCTTGATAGCAATCGTGTATGGTTTCTTACAACAAACTCATCCGACTTATTATCTATTGACTACTTGGCTCAATGGGAATTTTAAACCTTTATTGGCACCTGCAGAAGCTCGAGGAGCTTGTGCTATTTTACTTTCTATAATTTATTATTGGCGTGCTCATGAGACACATAGAAACTTACCGCATCGAATCAATAAAGTAACTGTAGGAAAGAAGAAGGATTGAAGCATCTTATTTGTTATTGTGTTTATACTGGCTCTTGGACCTCTGATATCATCTTATCTCTTTCATTTCGAGCTTCTTTTCACCTCCTACTAACGTCACTGCTTCTCACCTTCGTTCATCATAAGCACCATTTGTTTTTGGATGCTGAAATTTGTTGTACTTTGATACTATCGTTAAATTGTAGATAACACAAGCAAATCTTTCTTTACCTTGGACAGCAGTAGTTGACTTTATCAAGTCTTGACCTATCTGAACCTCCATACCATCGGGCCTTTGATCTTGGGAGTGGGTCTTTCAGAGTGTAATGCAGAAACCAATCATCACATTGCTTAATGACGAAGTCATGGTTGACTCTGGGAAATCTCTGTGATTATTGAAGGTCTTTATGGTTTGAAGTATGATCGGGCCGATATAAAGCCGGTAGCCGTTTCGATATCGAACTCGATGGCAATTGTCTTTGGACGAGCCCTTCAAACTATAATCAGCAATCTTGGTAAACAGATCTGAAGTATTTGATCCACATTCTTTAGTCATGCCTAGAATCCCTCTACGATTTCCTGTTCCTGGTGAATCCAAAATTGCGGATGAAATCAGAAAACGTCGTCACCCAAGGGATTTGATCTCACTCGATGGTTATTATCACTCATTTTCTTCATCGCGTTTGATTGATGGGTCTCACACTTTAAACTTATTTCCTTCCATCTCTTTTCAACTTGGTTATAGGTGTTTTACTTCACAACCCTTCTATTGCGGTCGGTTTCTTTCCATTTTTTGGTATTGGTTCTCTTTCTCACTCTAGTCTTATGGTGCGAATTGTATCATAGAACGGTTGGAATAGTTTAATAGGACCGATCAGAAGTGAGAATAGTCTACCAGCGGACATACGGGAATTATTGGTTCGTCTGATCCTTCCTGCCTCTTGAAGACTTGTTTTTCGTTTGTGTCTACTGATATTATATGGCCACTCGATTTAGATTCTCCGAGTGGCAGCTCTCAACTCTGCGGCTTATGAATGGGTTCAGCATGAGACTATCGCAAGAGCAGCAGGAATGTCAACTACTCAATTATGTAGAGTTCGCGATATTGTGAAACCCCTTAGCGATCCTCACCATCAGCTCTCGCCATCGCAGATCACCGCTTTAGCCTTTGCCGACGCTGTTACTCGTACTTTGGATATACCTGATGAACTGATTGAGGAATTCAAACAAAATCTTGGCGGACCAGAGCCTGATCGGGCCCTACTTGATGCTACTACAACTGTGGCGGCCTATAATATGGTCTCAAGAGTACTTATAACACTCGATGTAGCTGATGATAAAAGAGCGCCTGTTCCTCTGCCAGGCTTGGTTACTACTCATCACCGGCTCACTATGCGTGATGGAACTGAACTGGAGGTCTGTACTCGAGCTGTTCCAGCAGATCAAGAACCTGGTCGACCATGGATCGTTTTTGTAAACTCTTTACTTGTAGAAATGTCAATGTGGGAAGAAGTCTTACCAAGCTTCGCAAAGAAATTCAACCTGCTATGCTTCGATCAACGTGGACACGGAAAAGTTGAGTTTACCCATACCCTCCATGCTTACTACGATCTTTTGACTGAAAATAAGTCTATACGCGTAGTCTGCTGTGCCTCCCGAACCTTGTACAATAGAAGGTCTTGTGGAAGACGTGACCGAAATTGTAACCCAGCTAGGCTTATCGGTTCCAATTCATGGTATCATCGGAGTTTCACAAGGCGGAGCTACTGCACTTGGATTGGCTGCTCACCACCCTGATCTCTTCGAGAAATTGGTCGTTTGTGACTCTCAACCTGCTTCACCCAATATAAGTCGATCTCTATGGGAAGCTCGCTTAGGGTTGAAAGAGAATCAGGGTTCCCGTCACTTAGCTGAGGTTACCGTTCAACGCTGGTTCCCATCGGCTTCAGGACTACACCTTCCAGAAAGTCGACTTGGAAATAAGATCAGAAGAATGGTCGAACATACCAGTCTAGAAGGATTTAGAGCTGGATGCGCTGCTTTATGTGATTATAAAATCGATGAAAGCAAAATGAATGGCACTAAGATTCTTTTAGTAGCAGGTGAAGAAGATGGAAAGTTACCAGAGGTTTTGAAAGGTTTAGGAGAGAGGATTGGAGCTAGGTATGAAAATGTTCCAGGAGCTGGACACTTACCTATGGTCGATCAACCTGCTGGGTTTTTGAAAGCTAGTGGAATCATTCTTGGAGTTATAACGTTGATCAAATGGGTGAAAAGAAGATGGTAGATGACTTGAAAAGAATGATCATGTAGAATTATATAAAGT